CCAGAACGCACTTCTCAGCGTGCTATGCAAGGCCCGATTTGCCTAATAAGCCAAGTTTTCATGAATTAATGTTTTTTCGTCTACCTAACCTACCTAACCTAACCTAACTTTTTCGGCTACCTAACCTAACCTATAAAGATAGGTTAGGTTAGGTTAGGTAGGGTTGGTTAGGTTCGGTCATATATCTACGTTAATTTTAACTGCAATGAAAAAAATTTGACCTCATACATAATGAAATTGGTAGCTTTATCATTTCATAAGAAAAAAGTTATAGAAAATATATTAATTCATGAAAACTTGGCTTATTAGGCAAATCGGGCCTTGCATAGTAGGCTGAGAAGTGCGTTCTGGCTACTAGGTACGACATATATATATATATATATATATATGTCGTACCTAATAGCCAGAACGCACTTCTCAGCCTACTATTCAAGGCCCGATTTGCCTAATAGGCCAAGTTTTCATGAATTAATGTTTTTTCGTCGACCTAACCTACCTAACCTAACCTAACCTAGCCTTTTTTGGCTACCTAACCAACCTTACCTATATATATAGGTTAGGTTAGGTTAGGTAGGGTTGGTTAGGTTCGGTCATATATCTACGTTAATTTTAACTCCAATAAAAAAAAATTGACCTCATACATAATGAAATGGGTAGCTTTATCATTTCATAAGAAAAAAATTAGAAAAAATATATTAATTCAGGAAAACTTGGCTTATAAGGCAAATCGGGCCTTGAATAGTAGGCCAAAAAGTGAGTTCTGGCTACTAGGTACGACATATATATATATATATATATATATATATATATATATATATATGACTGAAAACTCACACCCCAGAAGTGACTCGAACCCATACTCCCAGGAGCAACGCAACTGGTAACTACAGGGCGCCTTAATCCGCTTGACCATCACGGCCGGACAAAAGGAAGTGATAGCCGAAGCTATTTGAGCCACTTCCCCGCCGGCAACTCGGATGGTAATCTTGGGCATAGCATTTTATCAAATCACCTCATTCTTTGGGGCACACGTGAGGAGCACAAATGCGAACAAGCCTGAATGGTCCCCAGGACTATATGCGACTGAAAACTCACACCCCAGAAGTGACTCGAACCCATACTCCCAGGAGCAACGCAACTGGTAACTACAGGGCGCCTTAATCCGCTTGACCATCATGGCCGGACAAAAGGAAGTGATAGCCGAAGCTATTTGAGCCACTTCTCCGCCGGCAACTCGGATGGTAATCTTGGGCATAGCATTTCACCAAATCACCTCATTCTTTGGGGCACACGTGAGGAACACAAATGCGAACAAGCCTGAATGGTCCCCAGGACTATATGCGACTGAAAACTCACACCCCAGAAGTGACTCGAACCCATACTCCCAGGAGCAACGCAACTGGTAACTACAGGGCGCCTTAATCCGCTTGATTAAGGCGCCCTGTAGTTACCAGTTGCGTTGCTCCTGGGAGTATGGGTTCGAGTCACTTCTGGGGTGTGAGTTTTCAGTCGCATATAGTCCTGGGGACTATTCAGGCTTCAGGATTTGTGTTCCTCACGTGTGCCCCAAAGAATGAGGTGATTTGATTAAATGCTATGCCCAAGATTACCATCCGAGTGCCGGCGGGGAAGTGGTTCAAATAGATTCGGCTATCACTTCCTTTTGTCCGGTCGTGATGGTCAAGCGGATTAAGGCGTCCTGTAGTTACAAGTTGCGTTGCTCCTGGGAGTATGGGTTCGAGTCACTTCTGGGGTGTGAGTTTTCAGTCGCATATAGTCCTGGGGACCATACAAGCTTGTTCGCATTTGTGTTCCTCACGTGTGCCCCAAAGAATGAGGTGATTTGATAAAATGCTATGCCCAAGATTACCATCCGAGTGCCGGCGGGGAAGTGGTTCAAATAGGTTCGGCTATCACTTCATTTTGTCCGGTCGTGATGGTCAAGCGGATTAAGGCGTCCTGTAGTTACCAGTTGCGTTGCTCCTGGGAGTCTGGGTTCGAGTCACTTCTGGGGAGTGAGTTTTCAGTCGCATATAGTCCTGGGGACCATTCAGGCTTCAGAACTTGTGTTCCTCACGTGTGCCCCAAAGAATGAGGTGATTTGATAAAATGCTATGCCCAAGATTACCATCCGAGTGCCGGCGGAGAAGTGGTTCAAATAGCTTCGGCTATCACTTCCTTTTGTCCGGTCGTGATGGTCAAGTGGATTAAGGCGTCCTGTAGTTACCAGTTGCGTTGCTCCTGGGAGTATGGGTTCGAGTCACCTCTGGGGTGTGAGTTTTCAGTCGCATATAGTCCTGGGGACTATTCAGGCTTGTTCGCATTTGTGTTCCTCACGTGTGCCCCAAAGAATGAGGTGATTTGATAAAATGCTATGCCCAAGATTACCATCCAAGTGCCGGCGGGGAAGTGGTTCAAATAGCTTCGGCTATCACTTCCTTTTGTCCGGTCGTGATGGTCAAGCGGATTAAGGCGTCCTGTAGTTACCAGTTGCGTTGCTCCTGGGAGTATGGGTTCGAGTCACTTCTGGGGTGTGAGTTTTCAGTCGCATATAGTCCTGGGGACCATTCAGGCTTCAGGATTTGTGTTCCTCACGTGTGCCCCAAAGAATGAGGTGATTTAATAAAATGCTATGCCCAAGATTACCATCCGAGTGCCGGCGGGGAAGTGGTTCAAATAGCTTCGGCTATCACTTCCTTTTGTCCGGTCGTTATGGTCAAGCGGATTAAGGCGTCCTGTAGTTACCAGTTGCGTTGCTCCTGGGAGTTTGGGTTTGAGTCACTTCTGGGGTGTGAGTTTTCAGTCGCATATAGTCCTGGGGACCATTCAGGCTTCAGGATTTGTGTTCCTCATGTGTGCCCCAAAGAATGAGGTGATTTGATTAAATGCTATGCCCAAGATTACCATCCGAGTGCCGGCGGGAAAGTGGTTCAAATAGATTCGGCTATCACTTGCTTTTGTCCGGTCGTGATGGTCAAGCGGATTAAGGCGTCCTGTAGTTACAAGTTGCGTTGCTCCTGGGAGTATGGGTTCGAGTCACTTCTGGGGTGTGAGTTTTCAGTCGCATATAGTCCTGGGGACCATACAAGCTTGTTCGCATTTGTGTTCCTCACGTGTGCCCCAAAGAATGAGGTGATTTGATAAAATGCTATGCCCAAGATTACCATCCGAGTGCCGGCGGGGAAGTGGTTCAAATAGGTTCGGCTATTACTTCATTTTGTCCGGTCGTGATGGTCAAGCGGATTAAGACGTCCTGTAGTTACCAGTTGCGTTGCTCCTGGGAGTCTGGGTTCGAGTCACTTCTGGGGTGTGAGTTTTCAGTCGCATATAGTCCTGGGGACCATTCAGGCTTCAGAACTTGTGTTCCTCACGTGTGCCCCAAAGAATGAGGTGATTTGATAAAATGCTATGCCCAAGATTACCATCCGAGTGCCGGCGGGGAAGTGGTTCAAATAGCTTCGGCTATCACTTCCTTTTGTCCGGTCGTGATGGTCAAGTGGATTAAGGCGTCCTGTAGTTACCAGTTGCGTTGCTCCTGGGAGTATGGGTTCGAGTCACTTCTGGGGTGTGAGTTTTCAGTCGCATATAGTCCTGGGGACCATTCAGGCTTGTTCGCATTTGTGTTCCTCACGTGTGCCCCAAAGAATGAGGTGATTTGATAAAATGCTATGCCCAAGATTACCCTCCGAGTGCCGGCGGGGAAGTGGTTCAAATAGGTTCGGCTATTACTTCATTTTGTCCGGTCGTGATGGTCAAGCGGATTAAGACGTCCTGTAGTTACCAGTTGCGTTGCTCCTGGGAGTTTGGGTTCGAGTCACTTCTGGGGTGTGAGTTTTCAGTCGCATATAGTCCTTGGGACCATTCAGGCTTCAGAACTTGTGTTCCTCACGTGTGCTCCAAAGAATGAGGTGATTTGATAAAATGCTATGCCCAAGATTACCATCCGAGTGCCGGCGGGGAAGTGGTTCAAATAGCTTCGGCTATCACTTCCTTTTGTCCGGTCGTGATGGTCAAGTGGATTAAGGCGTCCTGTAGTTACCAGTTGCGTTGCTCCTGGGAGTATGGGTTCGAGTCACCTCTGGGGTGTGAGTTTTCAGTCGCATATAGTCCTGGGGACTATTCAGGCTTGTTCGCATTTGTGTTCCTCACGTGTGCCCCAAAGAATGAGGTGATTTGATAAAATGCTATGCCCAAGATTACCATCCAAGTGCCGGCGGGGAAGTGGTTCAAATAGCTTCGGCTATCACTTCCTTTTGTCCGGTCGTGATGGTCAAGCGGATTAAGGCGTCCTGTAGTTACCAGTTGCGTTGCTCCTGGGAGTATGGGTTCTAGTCACTTCTGGGGTGTGAGTTTTCAGTCGCATATAGTCCTGGGGACCATTCAGGCTTCAGTATTTGTGTTCCTCACGTGTGCCCCAAAGAATGAGGTGATTTAATAAAATGCTATGCCCAAGATTACCATCCGAGTGCCGGCGGGGAAGTGGTTCAAATAGCTTCGGCTATCACTTCCTTTTGTCCGGTCGTGATGGTCAAGCGGATTAAGGCGTCCTGTAGTTACCAGTTGCGTTGCTCCTGGGAGTATGGGTTCGAGTCACTTCTGGGGTGTGAGTTTTCAGTCGCATATAGTCCTGGGGACTATTCAGGCTTGTTCGCATTTGTGTTCCTCACGTGTGCCCCAAAGAATGAGGTGATTTGATAAAATGCTATGCCCAAGATTACCATCCAAGTGCCGGCGGGGAAGTGGTTCAAATAGCTTCGGCTATCACTTCCTTTTGTCCGGTCGTGATGGTCAAGCGGATTAAGGCGTCCTGTAGTTACCAGTTGCGTTGCTCCTGGGAGTATGGGTTCGAGTCACTTCTGGGGTGTGAGTTTTCAATCGCATATAGTCCTGGTGACCATTCAGGCTTGTTCGCATATATATATAATATATATATATATATATACTGACAATTAACAACTGAACTTTACAGATGATGTAATTACCTTACCTATTCACTAAATTTACTCGAATATATTGCTGTGAAAGATTACACTCACCATGCCACGTAATACGTTTTCGTCGACGTAACGGGACTGGTTGTGCTGGGAGAAGTGCACCATGCCAGGGTTGGTGAGGTTGTAGCGTTGGGTGAAGGGAGGGACCAGGAGGCTGCGACGGATGTAACGCAACAGGATCGGATCCTCCTGGCTTACTTCAGGCAACATCATATCTATCACCACTCGCTCCTCTGTCGAAAATCACTTACTTTAAAGACTGTATGTAAATTCATATATATTTTATACTATGTTTCTAAAGTTGTATTACAATTATGGTTATATGAAATGTATAAAGTTAATTATAACTAATAGTACTGCTCCTCAAGAACCTTGGATGTTGGACAGGAAGCAAAAGTTCAGTGTGTTTTTGCTCTATACTTCCCGCACTGAGATGCTAGTAGCTCTTAGATCTCTTGTTGTCTTGATAAGCTGAGAACCCAGACCCTTGAAAAAATTCTTGGTACTTGTACCCGAGGGGTTAACATAAAGTGTCTGCCAAAACAATGAAAACTAAACTATACTGATGATCCAGTTCTCTGTTTTTATGGAGATTGGTTGGTTCCCTATATGTGGCAGTACCATCTGCATGACCTATTTTTCTCTAGATTTGTTTGTATTGGTAGACACATTGATCTCAGAACACTAATGATATGCATTTTGTATATTTGTGCAACCAACTGTTACTATGACCGTGGACCCAACCACCAAATAACCCCAATACTATTCGTGCACAAGTGACAAAAGCCGCTGTAAACCTTTCGGACACAGAAATCTTTCGGAAACGTAAACTTCTCAATGACGTGAACCTCTCATAGACGTGAACCTCTCGGAAATTTAAACCTCTCAGAAATGTAAACCTCTTGGTGGTGTAAACCTCTTCGAAACATAAACATCTTGGAGACATAAACCTCTCAGAAAACTCCTGAAAACCCCCAGCTGCAACTACCACAAGGTGAAGCGCAGCGTTCACAATATCATTAAACTGATGTACTAAATTGCCTGAACCTAATCTAACCCAGAACCCACAAATAGAAAATGTGACATGACGCCAGTTTTGTGAGTCGGTGTGATTTTTAGTACTTCAGTTTGGGGTAATAAAGGTTTTAAAGATTAAAATGGTTGATGTTAGCGTTAACATGAACCTATGAAACAAGCGTACTATGGGTTAGTTAGATTGAAGTTTTCTTGTGGTGGGGTTTCCTTGGAAGTGAACAAACGAAGGTGGGAGGCCATGACAGGGGTAAGCCCCCCTCAAATTCTTCAATTGGTTGAATGTATGTATGTTCTAGTTCGTTGATGTCGATTGGTTCTATTGTAGTTACTGGTGTAACAGTCTGGGCAGTGTCCGTTTTCTGTCGTATCCTTGACAGACCTGAATATTTCTTTCTTGTATCAGTGGAGGAAGTAGAGGTTTTCATTTGCTGTTGGTCTGCCTGGTCTGGGGTGGCGGTGGACTGGGTGGAAGTTGATGTCTGGGTCGCTGGTGATACTAGCACCGGTGTCGGGTCCGCCTCCTGGGAAGTCGATGCTGACATTGCTTCGGTTGCTGGTGATGTTGGAGTCTGTTCTGTTTGAGTTGAAGCAGCGGTTTGATTTTGAAATAGGTCCGCTGGTATCGACATCGTTGGTAGGTTGTTCTGGGTGAGCAGCATGTTCAATACTCTCACGTATTTGGCGATGTCTGTTTCTGCCTCCTTCTCAGCTACACTGATCAGGCATGGGATGAGAGTGATGTTGGCCGAGACCGCTGATTGGTTGACTGTCGAGTTGGTTGGCCGGGCTGCAGTCGCCTGTGTCCTTGATTCCCTGTGGGGGGTGGGCTGGCCCGGTGTGGACGTCTGTGTAGCAGTAGCAGAAGCCGAAGCGTTGGGAAGCACTGGGAACGACGTAGCCTGGATACTGAAGCTCGCCGGCTGATTGGTTGTTGGGTTGGCAGTTACTGTTTTCTTGATTTCATCCAGTCGTACTTGGCAGTCCATGTAGACGGCGTTGTGAGCTCCTCCACAATTGAGGCACAATTTGCTGGTTGACTAGCAGGTTTTAAAGTGATGATCCTGGGTACAAATGCTGCATTTAGCCTCTGCTTGTGGGCAGTTCTTGGTATCATGGTCGTATCTGTAGCACTTAAAGCATTGGTGTACGATGTAGTAACGCTCCATCTTGACAGTGTCAGGTGAAATTGAAATATCCATGCATCTGAATCCATTCTCCACAGCTTGGGTCCCTGCAGCAGCTGTTGTGAAGGTGACCTTGAGAGTAGGCCTTGGGCTGTCGTTGTTCTTGATGACTGACTTTACCTGCAGTCAGGGCCGGGTTCCTGGAGTTGATGCTCTCCAGTATGGTGTCTGGGTCCTGGGTGGCGATGTAGACACTCGTGTGGCTGACGAAGATGGTTCGTCTTAGCCAAATAGCGTCGGGTAGGAGTTATGATCAAGTTGGAGTTTCGTAGGGCGTCCTGGTGTTCTGGTGCAAACAGTTGCTCCAGAGCTTGCTCGCTTGAATAGAGAAGTACAGCGCCGTCTGCATCGTCACGGATGTCCAATGGAACTGCATTTGTGATGTCGACGATTTTCCGTAGTAATTGGGGCCTGGTGTAGCTGGTTTCGTCACGAAACCGGACCTTGATGCGGTAGATCATGATGATGGTGAATCTCTCAATGACTACCGCATCATTGGAGATTGCCTACCGTCTCTTCTCGGTATATAGTACCAAGATGGGAGTGGGGTGTGACAATCTAGAATAAAGCAAGTCTTCTGCTCAGTTTTTACCCACCCGGCAGTGCTAGGTACATGAGTCTTTGTATTTATCGTTTATCGTTTTCTATCCTAACCTACCAGAAGACCCAGAACAGAAAATGGGACAGTACCTCACCTTGCGAAAGCGCTACCGTTTTCAAGTACGACTATTTTTTACCTTAAGTAAAGAATGTCAAACTGCGATGTTCTATTATGAGGATAGGTTGGTTCATCAGTTACCCTGACGAGTTTTAGAGAAAAGTTAATATAATCTCTATTTATAATTACATTAATTAATTATATATCTTCCTATACTAACACCCGGGGGTAATCATATTTTAGTTTGCTATTATAGGCATTTGTTTACTAAAAAGTGGATATTCTTATGATTTGTTTGTGAGATTGTTCCAAAATCTGAGACGCCTTGATTTTTGTGTTTGCTTCTAACTGCATCTTTTGATGCAGTTAGAATCTTCGTGGCTCTGTTCTAAATATAGATTCAGAAGAATATGTGATCCTCTGTATAATGCTTAATTACTAATATATCAACCCGTCCTCCTACCAGACCGTCGCATATTGACACATACTCTACATAAGGACAAAAATCGTCGTACTAAAATTTGGTAGCGGCTCGCGAAATTGACTTACTGTGAACAAATCCACAAGGGCCGTGACGAGGATTCAAACCTGCGTCCGAGAGCATCCCAGATGCTGCCTTAATCGACTGTGTTACGACATTGTAAAAGGAGTTGAAACCGAAGTTTTACTGAACTTACTGGATCCTGCTGCCTCTCCGAGGCACAAACTGTCGTAGCTCAGTCGATTAAGGCAGCGTCAGGGATGCTCTCGGACGCAGGTTCGAATCCTCGTCACAGCCCTTGTGCATTTGTTCATTTGATGCATCACACAATTGTGATTTCTGTGTTTAATGAAGTAAGGGCGAAGAGGAAGAACGGCCTATTGACATAGCTCGAGTGCATGGGGGGAGTTGTGTAAATCCCTGGTTTGTGTCTGAGGCTGCAGGATCCAGTAAATTCAGTAGAACTTCGGTTTCAACTCCTTTCACCATGTCGTAGCTCAGTCGATTAAGGCAGCGTCTGGGATGCTCTCGGACACAGGTTCGAATCCTTGTCACGGCCCTTGTGGATTTGTTCATTTGATGCATCACGCAATTGTGATTTCTGTGTGTAATAACTTACTGTCCCGTTTCTGTTTTGGGTCCTCTGATAGGTTAAGATAAGGGTATTTTAGTACGACAGTTTCTTGACGTTGGGAAACCTTAGGAGGACGGGCTGAATATATTATAATAGAACAGTAGATTATTTTTCACAAGATCTCCGACTTCTGTCCCTAAGTCCAACAGTCAGGTAGTCATTAACAGGAACGTGAAGGATTTATTGTGAAACATTGGCGAAGGGAAGCCCTGATAGACTATATAACTGGACATATGTAGGTGATTTATTGAAGTTATTTCATATTACCCATATCGTATTAATTATCATAAATTACTGAAATAATTATTGTGAAAATTAGGCTTTGCTTCTTGGTTAAGGAATAATATATTATCAGTTTATATTCTCGGAACAGTTTATACTCATCAATATAAACAATTAGCTTATATATTATAACCCCAGCGTTCATAATCTTAGGAGGAGACCTAAGTATGATTTGACTGATTATACAAGTGAACAAATATTATTGTACATTATTATTTCTCTGTTATTCCTTCTGTTAGACTGAGGACCTGCCCGAAACGCTTCGCGTGATAATGACTTTGCAAGAATGTAAGAATACCAATGTTCTGTACTCTCACAACCCAATGTACTTTCTTCTATTTATATCAACAAATAAATAAATACAAAATCAATGCTTGCCTAGTATTCATATTATGCACATATAATCATGATTAATTTACTGACTATTAAATTTTTTAACACACTTAACCATTATTACAATGGGTGCTTGACTGACTTTAGATTGACGTCAGAAAGGCATTGCAGAAAAGCTATGGTTGCATTAGCGAGACTCTTGGCGTCTGACTAATCGATTCGGATCCACTCGTGGAGTAACACCTAACTTAACACAATTAACAGGCAATCATTAATACGGCAAACCTAACTGCCAGTGTGCAAAGGGTCACAGGAGTTCCAACCGGATACTCGGGTACTGATGATGCACAATAAATCACAATGGCATTGTCAATGGGACAGAAAATATCATGCACAATAATTATGTCACACAATAACTAAATGTGTGGTGTATGTGAAGCTCACATTCACAGACTAGTGTAATGTCGTGGTACCACACAGATAAACACGCATACACCGTCAGGTGTCTCGCTGAGAAGGTGAGAACTGTGGTTGATCCCTCAGATCAACACACAGAAAGACACAATAATAAAACACAAGATCTTGGACTTTACAGGTAGGCTACCTCTCTTATTCACTCACACTTGCACATTCAAGCAGACCTCGTAGGTGGCCTGGCAGCTGGTTTCGCTCGTTACGACGTGAGACCACTGACGACAAGCATAACACACCATACTCACACGGCGGGATACTCGCAGGAGGGTGTGCTGTATGAGTAACAGACACACACCCTTGATGGCACTGGCGGTGAGTAAGGTGGTGACGTCACGTAGTACAGTGAGGCAGGGAGGGTGTCGGCTTGAGGTGGGCTACACGCTCTAGACTGAGTGGCGACTAAATTATTACACCATGCAGGTGCCTGTGTATAAGTTCACTCAAAGTATTTAAGCGGCGGCACTTCCTCAGTTCACTCCAGGTCACTCACAGACGATCTCAATTTGTCACCAGGGTTTACCCGAAACCAGTCTGTTTCGCTCTGGTGATTCACAGACGTTGTCACTCTAGATGATTTTCTAAACAATATAGTCTCAGGGCCACAAGAGCCTCATCGCGGCTCTTGTGGATTTATTAATTTGATTTATCACCCTATTGTGATTTCTGTGTGTAATGAAGTAAGGGCGAAGAGGTAGAACAACTTATTGACAGAGCTCTAGTGCATGTGGGAATTGTGTAAAACCCCGGTTTGTGTCTCGGAGAGGCTGCGGGATCCGTGTGAGGGCAGATGAACTCCCGGTTGCAATTCGTTTGGCAGTGTCGTTGCGCAGTCGATTAAGGCACGTCTGGGATCATCGTGGACTTAAGTTCGAACCCTCAACACGGCCCTTGTGGATTTATTCACTACTACTATACTTGGGTCAGGAACCACTACAACACACATGTGTCAAGAACCACTGCAACACACACATGTGTCAAACCACTACAACACACATGTGTCAAGAACCACTACAACTTACCTTGGAGTGTGATGTTGGTCACAGTACAAGCTGGTCCACAATTCAAGGTGTAGTGGACGAAGGCTAAGACGCAGAACACGAAGTAGAGGACGAGGACCTCGACCCGTCTGTGTTGTCCTCGCTGGAACACATACATCCTCTCACAAATTGGCCTGTGCTCGACACTATTATCTGGAATGGATACAATTTTATGTGTTGGGCACAATTGTCTGTTCTAGACACAATTCCCTATTCTACACGCAATTTCCTGTTGTACACGCAATTCCTTGTTCTACATGCAAGTGTCACGCAGAGAACATTGTTTATACTGGATGTACTTTGTTTTGATGTATACTTGTGATGGCAGAGAGCGTAAGTCTATATTATATTGCCTTAGAATATGCTTAGAGTTGGCATCTTTATATTTTGTTGCTATTTATTCAAAGTGTTGCCATATTCTATGGATAGTGTTACCATATAGTATCTATAGTGTTGCCATATAATATGAATTGTGTTGACATACAGCATGTGTGGGTTAATAGACACTATACACTGCGTTGCCGTATAATATGCATAGTGCTGCCATATTCTATGGACAGTGTTACCATTTAGTATGCATAGTGTTTCCATATAGTATCTATAGTGTTGCCATATAGCATGCATAGTGTTGCCATATTCTATGGATAGTGTTACCATTCAGGACATAAAACAATAAGGACATTGTGTCACCAAATAGTAACTATAGCGTTGCCATGTATTATGCATAGTGTCGACATATAATATGCATTGTGCTGCCATATAGTATGCATGGTGTTGCCATAAAGTATGCATAGTTTTGCGAAATAGTATGAATGGTGTTTCTATATGCAGACGATGAGTCTCAGAAACTTAACTGAAGATATGATGACCAGACCACACGCCAGAAGATGAGGAGACGACGACGTTTCGGTCCGTCTTGGACCATTATCAAGATGGGAGGGAGGGAGGGACGGGCATTAAGCAAGGCTGGAGAGAGCTGAGGAGCAGGGGAGAGGAGGTAATTCCTTGAGGAAGGCAAGAGGAAGGCGAAAGGTAAGAACAAGAAGGAATGGATGTAATAATGGGGTGTAAGATAGCGGTTATAATGGGATGTAAGATGGCGGTTATAATGGGGTGTAAGATGGCGGTTATAATGGGGTGTAAGATAGCGGTTATAATGGGATGTAAGATGGCGGTTATAATGGGGTGTAAGATGGCGGTTATAATGGGGTGTATTTCCTGTATTCACAGCCAGGTGTCAGAGCGGAGCGTTGACATGAATCTCTCCATTACTATCAGATAGAAATGTTCCCGCAAACGCTCCTACCTCCCCAGAGCTCAACCACTTCAGGAACCGACAATCGAGTTGCTTGGCCTTTTCAGCACATATCCTCAGAGGCTCTTTCGTGTTCCCACAGAACCTTTTCCGGTAAATTTCGGACGTCAGCTGGAACGACCGAAGCACTGCGCCCTTCACTGCGTCGTAATCAAATCATTCTTCTAGGTTCAACATGTTATATGCCTCCCTGACCACAACAGTCAACCTGTTCCACACGAACTCTGTCCAGTCCTCTTCCGGTCACCTCTTCACCGTGCCACCTTCTCAAAGCTGTCGAAGAAGCTTTCCGCTTCTTGGGGCACGAAAGAAGGGATGTCTCGCTCCGGAATCTGGTGGTCATCACGGCGGGCATGGCGCTCGCGACGGGCCTTAACAAGGCCATGATCAATTACCCTCTCCTTCAGCACCTGATTTGTTTCATTTTCCAGTTTTCTAATCTCCAGCTGTTGCTGCTGGAGAGTAGAGTAAACCTGTCGCTGGGGGTTTCTGGGAGCACCTTAAGAGGTTCTTATTTTCTGGAGACATATTCAGGAGATACTAGATTCTAGAGACTAGAATCTAGAGACACTGGCATTTTCTAGATACACTCAGATTCTGAAGACGGTTATTATCTTGAGGCACTTTGTGTCTAGCGCACTCATGTCAAAGAGGCACGCAGGTTCTAGAGACATTAAGACTACAGAGGAATCAAAAGGATTTAGTACCCGTTGTCACGAACAACTTAAGCTTAAAACTTAATTGTAAACCATCAAAACGAATAGAAGAAACCCTATGAAATTTTTGAAAGATTTACGAGAAATTCGTAGATCAAGATACCTAACCTAACACAGTTTAAGGATTAACGGTTAACCAAGAACATTTTCTCCTTAATTTTTTTTACTTTAGTACACATTAATCACTGTAAATAACACGTTAGAGCAAAGATATATTGATAATTATGTTTGAAGTAGAGTGAGATGGCTTACTTGTGGATGATATATACGGAGCAACAGCGCTAGCGGAAGACGTCCCTGTTTTATCAACAGTCCAACTGAGCCAACTATACTTTGTGGGCTGCTGGGTGATCACAACAGGTGTTCGTAGACACCACCTGTTATCATGTCTACAACACCTGTCTCATATACTGTGGAATAGGTCCCCGTGAGGGACTCGTCGCCCATTGGTAGTAGAGGTACAGTAATCTGCTTCATGTATTGTGAAACAGGTCTGCAGGAAGGGCAAGTTGTTCAGTGTAATAGTGAAGTGACAATAAACAACCATTGTCTGAAGGTGACAATAAACAACGATTGACTGAAGGTGACATTGGACTGCCTTCAATGAAGGTGAAGGTGACAATAAACAGCGATGATCTGAAGGTGACAATAAACAGCGATGATCTGAAGGTGACAATAAAGACAATAAACAACCATGGTCTGAAGGTGACGAGAAACAACCATGGTCTGAAGGTGACAATAAATTACTATGGTCTGAAGGTGACTAGAAACAACCATGGTCTGAAGGTGACAATAAATAACTAGGGTGACATTGGACAGCTAAGGCATTAAGGTGGCTTTGAACAACCATGTTCCAAAGGTGACAATAAACAGTTATGGTCTGAAGATGTCAGTAAAGAGTCATGGTCTGAGGGTAAAAATAGGCAGCCCTGGCATGTCACAGGACAGCAGAACTGTGCCTGTATTTTCAGGCAACAGCAGAACTATGCTCCAATATGTCCAGGACCTTTAAAAACTGTGCTCCAGTATGTCCAGGACACATTGGAGCTGTGCCATTATAGTGTCCAAGGCCAGGAGAACTGTGTCCCAATATGTCCAAGGATACATCAGAACTGTACCCCAGTATGTCCAGGGTCCACCAGAACTGTGCCCTAATATGTCCAGGGTCCACCAGAACTGTTCCCTAATATGTCCAGGGTCCACCAGAACTGTTCCCTAATATGTCCAGGGTCCACCAGAACTGTGCCCTAATATGTCCAGTGTCCACCAGAACTGTTCCCTAATATGTCCAGTGTCCACCAGAACTGTGCCCTAATATGTCCAGGGTCCACCAGTGTTCCCATGTCCAGGGAACTGTGCCCTAATATGTCCAGGGTCCACCAGAACTGTTCCCTAATATGTCCAGGGTCCACCAGAACTGTTCCCTAATATGTCCAGTGTCCACCAGAACTGTGCCCTAATATGTCCAGGGTCCACCAGAACTGTTCCCTAATATGTCCAGGGTCCACCAGAACTGTTCCCTAATATGTCCAGGGTCCACCAGAACTGTTCCCTAATATGTCCAGTGTCCACCAGAACTGTTCCCTAATATGTCCAGGGTCCATCAGAACTGTGCCCTAATATGCCCAGGGTCCATCAGAACTGTGCCCTAATATGTCCACGGTCTATCAGAACTGTGGCCTAATATGTCCAGAGTCCACGAGAGCTGTGCCCTAATATGTCCAGGGTCCACCAGAACTGTGGCCTAATATGTCCAGGGTCCACCAGAACTGTGCCCTAATATGTCCAGGTTCCACCAGAACTGTGCCCTAATATGTCCAGGGTGCACCAGAACTGTGCCCTAATATGTCCAGGTTCCACCAGAACTGTGCCCTAATATGTCCAGGGTGCACCAGAACTGTGCCCTAATATGTCCAGGGTCCACCAGAAGTGTGCCCTAATATGTCCAGGGTGCACCAGAACTGTGCCCTAATATGTCCAGGGTCCACCAGAAGTGTGCCCTAATATGTCCAGGGTCCACCAGAACTGTGCCCTAATATGTCCAGGGTCCACCAGAACTGTGCCCTAATATGTCCAGGGTCCACCAGAACTGTGCCCTAATATGTCCAGTGTCCACCAGAACTGTGCCCTAATATGTCCAGGGTCCACCAGAACTGTGTTCTAATATGACCTGGGACCAGAACAATTCTTTGTTTAGAGGTCAAAGTACATGTTCCTCTTGTAACGTTACGTAGAGTTCTAATGATGCAACTAATCATTTTGGTGCTCCAGGCAATTAGACTGAAGTATGACTATGACGTCAGATGGTGACATGAGACCTGGTGGGTACCAAGCACCACATATATTGTCTCAGATTTGTTATTATCAAGTTGGCAGTACCATTCTCCCCGAGTTATTGCATATTCAGCCTCTGCTGTAAACAAGACGGGAATCCGCTCCGTTAACTGAACCGTATTTAGAGCAGTAGGCGCATACAATTTTTCCCACTGACTGTTATATGGGCTGAATCCGATTGATTGATTAATTGATTGATAGAGATTAAACATAGGTGGCACTGGCGTGAATAGTCTGTAAGTGGAGGCTGTTTGAAGCCATTACCAGTACCAGTAGCTGGTACTGTAAATCTGTGGATGAATTGGGTGCGGAGAGGAACAGTCGGAAGTATAGGATGAAGAGGAAGCTTCGGCGTCGCAGAGTGTACATCCAGGGCTCAACACAGCAAAGGCGAGGATTTGTGGACAGATAGTAGAACCAACCAGCACAAAGCAAGCACCAAGACGAGCCAAGAGGGAAGGGGGGGTTTGAGGCGGGCCCGAGCACCAGCCAGAAGTCCTTGTATGATATTCCACTACAGCATCACTATCTCAGGAGGGGCCCTAATGGCTCTACTTTTCCTGTTCTTCGGTTTCTTGTTTTGGCTTCGTGTCTGTACATGGGTATCCATTGGCGACAGTGTAGGGTATCATGGGAGATCCTCGATGGTATTTCTCGGTAAGTCAATGGTGATCCCTTGGCCATTTCTGAAAACGGTGTATCGACCTGTGGTTGTGTCCAGAATGCCAGGTGCATCGCGACCATCAAACATGGGCGTTCGTAGGCGATGAGACGTCGAGACTACATTTTCGGAGCCATACTCATCTACGCCGGAGAGATCCTCATCGTCCACATACTCGTCTGAAGATGCGTAGTCCTCTTAGTACTGTCGCCAGTATCCCTGCTTTCTTTGCGTTGTGTACCGCTGTCAGCGTCGTCTGGGAGCCCACAGTTGTCGTCGTCAGTGGAGCGTTCGTTTCGGTGACCAAAAAAGTGGTCGTCGGTGGAGCGTTCATTTGGGTGACCGTAGTTGTCATCGTCCATGGAGCGTCTGTTTGGGTGTCCACAGTTGTCGTTGTCCGTCTGGGTGTCCACCGTTGTTATCGCCAGTGGAGAGTCCATCTGGGTGTCCGCCATTGTCATCGCCCGTGGAGAGTCCGTCTGGGTGTCCGCAGTTGTCATCGTCAGCCGAGGGACTTCAGTCTGGGTGGCTGCAAGCCTAAGAGGCTTGTTATAGTGTTATAGTATAGTTATAGTAACTAGTAAAATAGTTAACTAAAAATATAAAAATATATAATACGTGGTGCCAGAGGCACGATGGTACTTGGGCAGTAATGCCACCAGCTTAGGATAATATCTTAACAGATATTGTCACTAACATCTGTGACCGAACACCTGTTGCCAACTCACCACCTTTCCCACTTATATTAAACGTGTTCGTAGATTCTTCTCTGCGTCACGCATTGCGTGTGTGTACTCACCTATTTGTGTCTGCAGCAGAAAACTTCACCCATATGTTGTCTGTCTGTCTGTTTCTCTCTCTCTCTCTCTCTCATTTTTTTCTCTCTCTCTCTCTCATTTTCTCTCTCTCTCTCTCTCTCTCTCTCTCTCTCTCTCTCTCTCTCTCTCTCTCTCTCTCTCTCTCTCTCTCTCTCTCTCTCTCTCTCTCTCTCTCTCTCTCTCTCTCTCTCTCTCCCCTCTCTCTCTCCTCTCTCTCTATCTCTCTCTCTCTCTCTCTCTCTCTGCCCCTCTCTCTCTCTCTCTCCCTACTCTCTCCTCTCTCTCTCTCCCCTCTCTCTCTCTCTCTCTCTCTCTCTCTCTCTCTCTCTCTTCTCTCTCTCTCTCTCTCTCTCCTCTCTCCCCTCTCTCTCTCTCTCTCTCTCTCTCTCTCTCTCTCTCTCTCTCTCTCTCTCTCCCTCTCTCTCTCTCTCCCTCTCTCTCTCTCTCTCCCCTCTCTCTCTCTCTCTCACCTCTCTCTCTATCTCTCTCCCCTCTCTCTCTCTCCCCCCCCTCTCTCTCTCTCTCTCTCTCACGTCTCTCTCTCTCTCTCTCTCTCTCTCTCTCTCTCTCTCTCTCTCTCTCTCTCTCTCTCTCTCCCCTCTCTCTCTCTCCTACCTCCCTCCCCCTCCCTCCTCCTTCACCTGTCCCTGGGAAGGGACTCTCCCTGGGAAGGGACTCTCCCTAGGGAGTGGCCTCCTTATCAGGGTCTCAGATATTGACAGCAAGTACGAATGCAGCACTTTCAAAACACGATAACATCATTTTCATTTGCCAACATCCAGGGTATTAAAGTACGCAAATCTATCAACCTTCACTTTATAGCTGGCCTCCTGCATGAGGCAAAGGCAGAGTTTGCAGCCCTATCGCGGCATCGCGGAACTACCGGAAAAGGAATTACCGGAAAAATAGGCAGATGGATCTGCAATTTCCTGACTAACAGAACCCAATGTGTAATATAGGCAACAAAATAATGGCCTTCCTTCCATTATTTTGTTGGCCAGAAACAGGCCTTCCGCGAGTCCTCGCCAAGGCTCCTCGTTGCTGGACTGGTCAACCAGGCTGTTGGACGCGGCTGCTCGCAGCCTGACGTATGAGTCACAGCCTGGTTGATCAACCTGTGATTCATATCTCCCTCCTCGTTATTATACGTTATTATGTATTTCCTTCCTCCTTCCCTGTCCCTGTTCTCTCTCTCTCTCCCTCCTCCTTCCCCTGTCCCTGCTCTCTCTCTCTCCCTCCTCCTTCCCCTGACCCTGCTCTCTCTCTCTCCCTCCTCCTTCCCCTGTCCCTGCTCTCTCTCCCTCCCTCATCCTTCCCCTGACCCTGCTCTCTCTCCCTCCCTCCTCCTTCCCCTGTCCCTGCTCTCTCTCCCTCCTCCTTCCCCCTGTCCCTGCTCTCTCTCTCTCCCTCCTCCTTCCCCTGTCCCTGCTCTCTCTCTCTCCCTCATCCTTCCCCTGTCCCTGTTCTCTCTCTCTCCCTCCTCCTTCC